TTGTCTCAGAAGATGTTCCCGCGGGCCTGAAGGGTGACCGCCAGCTCGAGCCGCGGCGCCGGCAGGCCAGATAAGGATCATGCAACAGCAAAGACGATGACAGAGCAACGAGGTATCGGCGAGTGCATGACCGGCCTCCGTTTCCTGCACTTCTTTCCTGTAGTTCCCCTAGCTCATCGAGCTCAGCAGATGTTTCTGCGGGTCCGAAGGACGACCGCCAGCTCGAGTCGCAGCGCCACGTGGCACGAACCGCAGAGCAAGGGCACGCGAGCATTGCTCGTGGTCAGAATCTGAGTCCCCGTGGTGCCTCACTCCGCTGGCCACCCACCAGCAGCCCTCGAAAGTGGCGACAGTTTCACAGATCGCAGCCGCCCAGGGGTGGCGAGGTCTAATCTGAGTCCCCGTGGTGCCTCACTCCGCTGGACCCACCAGCAGCCTCGAAAGTGGCGACAGTTTCACACAGGGATGGCGAGGTCTAATCTGAGTCCCCGTGGTGCCTCACTCCGCTGGACCCACCAGCAACCCTCGAAAGTGGCGACAGTTTCACAGATCGCAGCCCCCCAGAGATGGCGAGGTCTAATCTGAGTCCCCGTGGTGCCTCACTCCGCTGGACCCACCAGCAGCCCTCGAAAGTGGTGACAATTTCACAGATCGCAGCCCCCCAGAGATGGCGAGGTCTAATCTGAGTCCCCGTGGTGCCTCACTCCGCTGGACCCACCAGCAGCCCTCGAAAGTGGTGTCAGTTTCACAGATCGCAGCCCCCCCCAGAGATGGCGAGGTCTAATCTGAGTCCCCGTGGTGCCTCACTCCGCTGGACCCACCAGCAGCCCTCGAAAGTGGCGACAGTTTCACAGACCGCAGCCCCCCCCCCAGGGATGGCGAGGTCTAATCTGAGTCCCTGTGGTGCCTCACTCCGCTGGACCCACCAGCAGCCCTCGAAAGTGGTGACAGTTCCGCAGATCGCAGCCCGCCAAGGATGACGTGAAAGGCAAGAGAAGAAAAGTGGAGGAGCGAAGAGAGGAGGAGAAGGCAAGCAAGAGAGGAGAGGAGGAGGGAAGAGAGGGGGGGGGCGGGAGGAGGAGAACGGAAACCGCAGTGCTCTATTCAAAACGAGTACCCAACGCAGGAGGGTTGGGAAAACATATTATAACCTTGACGTTCTGCCTTTCAACATGCTCCATCCTTTGCAAACGAGAACCCAACAGCCCCCCAGGGATGGCGAGGTCTAGTCTGAATCTGCGGTGAGTACCCATTGTGCTGGGCCCCTCAGCAGCCCTCGAAATTGGCGACAATTCCACAAATCACAGCCCCCAGGGATTGCGAGGTCTAATCTGAATCTGCGGTGAGTACCCACTGTGCTGGGCCCCTCAGCAGCCCTCGAAAGTGGCGACAGTTCCACAAATCGCAGCCCCCCAGGGATTGCGAGGTCTAATCTGAATCTGCGGTGGGTGCCCACTGTGCTGGGCCCCTCAGCAGCCCTCGAGCGTCACAGATCGCAGCCCCCCAGGGATTGCGAGGTCTAATCTGAATCTGCGGTGACTACCCACTGTGCTGGGCCCCTCAGCAGCCCTCGAAAGTGGCGACCGTTTCACAGATCGCAGCCCCCCAGGGATGGCGAGGTCTAATTTGAGTCTGCGGTGAGTACCCACTGTGCTGGGCTCCTCAGCAGCCCTCGAAAGTGGCGACAGCTTCGCAGATCGCAGCCCCCCAGAGATGGCGAGGTCTAATCTGAGTCTGCGGTGAGTACCCACTGTACTGGGCCCCTCAGCAGCCCTCGAAAGTGGCGACAGCTTCACAGATCGCAGCCCCACAGGGATGGCGAGGTCTAATTTGAGTCTGCGGTGAGTACCCACTGTGCCGTGCCCCTTCAGCAGCCCTCGAAAGTGGCGACAGTTCCACAGATCGCAGCCCCCCAGGGATGGCGAGGTCTAATATGATTCTGCGGTGAGTACCCACTGTGCTGGACCCCTTCACCAGCCCTCGAAAGTGGCGACAGTTTCATGGATCGCAACCCCCCAGCGATGGCGAGGTCGAATCTGGAGCCCCGTAAGACGTCACTCTGCTCGCCCCACAGCAGCCCTCGAAAGTGGCGACAGTTTCGCAGATCGCAGCCACCCAGGGCTGGCGAGGTGGAGGGAAGAGAGGAGCAAGGGAGGAGAGGAGGAGGGAAGACAGGAGAAGGGAAGCAAGAGAGGGGAGAGGAGGAGGGAAGAGAGGTGGAGGGAGGCGGGAGGAAGGAGTGGAGACCGCAGTGCTCTATTCAAAACGAGTACCCAACGCAGGAGGGTTGGGAATTACCCTGCGACGTACCCAACCCACGCGCATCAAATGGCAAGAGGAATATGCCAACATTAGCAGGAACAACGACAGTGTAGACGCGGCGATTTGCTGTGCAAGCTACATGGGATGCGCATGCGCTGCACGATTCACAGGGCGACGATCGAAAGAACGAGGCTTGAGGCCCCACGATCGAAGAAGAACGGGTACGGGAACGAGGTGTAGGAGAGGGATGGGATGGAGGGCTGGGGGGGCGAAAGGCCATCGCGGAAGCAGCAGCGCGCATGGAGAAGGTGAGGCGGGGAATAGGACGACGATGAAAGTGGCGGGAGGAGACAGAAGACTGCCGCGTTTTTCAAGTGCGAGCTAAACCCGCAGCGCTGCCTGCGCCATGTCGTCGCAGAGTTCCACATGATAAAACTTGGTTAGAGTGCAAGGAACGAGCGAGGCGTAGCTCGCCCGCTAGCTTCTCCGCCTCCTTCCCGCACATTTCAGCGCGGGAGCTGAACGCTCGCAGGCGCGCCGCCAGGTCTGCGGGCGGCCCGCGGGGAAGAAACTCAAGGCCGGGGTCGCGCATCATCAATCGGTTGTCCATCGTCCAAAGTTGCACTGGCGACGTACTGGTTGAACGCGGAGCGAGCAACATCACGCGCGTGCCTGAAGCCACGCAGGTACAGTGCACGCGCGATTGGGACTTCAGGTCGATCACGCGCGTCTCCACCAGGCTTGGCAACACCACGCGGCTGAGGATCTCACTGCGGTCTGCCATGCTGCTGTCCGCGAGTGCAATGCGCTGCCTGCAAGTAAAGCGGCGACGTACACTTGTCTCAGAAGATGTTCCCGCGGGCCCGAAGGGCGACCGCCAGCTCGAGCCGCGACGCCGGCAGGCCAGATAAGGATCATGCAACAGCAAAGACGATGACATAGCAACGAGGTATCGGCGATTGCATGACCGGCCTCCGTTTCCTGCACTTCTTTCCTGTAGTTCCCCTAGCTCATCGAGCTCAGCAGATGTTTCTGCGGGTCCGAAGGACGACCGCCAGCTCGAGTCGCAGCGCCACGTGGCACGAACCGCAGAGCAAGGGCACGCGAGCATTGCTCGTGGTCAGAATCTGAGTCCCCGTGGTGCCTCACTCCGCTGGCCACCCACCAGCAGCCCTCGAAAGTGGCGACAGTTTCACAGATCGCAGCCGCCCAGGGGTGGCGAGGTCTAATCTGAGTCCCCGTGGTGCCTCACTCCGCTGGACCCACCAGCAGCCTCGAAAGTGGCGACAGTTTCACACAGGGATGGCGAGGTCTAATCTGAGTCCCCGTGGTGCCTCACTCCGCTGGACCCACCAGCAACCCTCGAAAGTGGCGACAGTTTCACAGATCGCAGCCCCCCAGAGATGGCGAGGTCTAATCTGAATCCCCGTGGTGCCTCACTCCGCTGGACCCACCAGCAGCCCTCGAAAGTGGCGACAGTTTCACAGATCGCAGCCCCCCAGAGATGGCGAGGTCTAATCTGAGTCCCCGTGGTGCCTCACTCCGCTGGACCCACCAGCAGCCCTCGAAAGTGGCGACAGTTTCACAGATCGCAGCCCCCCCCCCAGAGATGGCGAGGTCTAATCTGAATCCCCGTGGTGCCTCACTCCGCTGGACCCACCAGCAGCCCTCGAAAGTGGCGACAGTTTCACAGATCGCAGCCCCCCCCCCCAGGGATGGCGAGGTCTAATCTGAGTCCCCGTGGTGCCTCACTCCGCTGGACCCACCAGCAGCCCTCGAAAGTGGTGACAGTTCCGCAGATCGCAGCCCGCCAGGGATGACGTGAAAGGCAAGAGAAGAGAAGAGGAGGAGCGAAGAGAGGAGGAGAAGGCAAGCAAGAGAGGAGAGGAGGAGGGAAGAGAGGGGGGGGGGCGGGAAGGAAGGAAGGTGGAGACCGCAGTGCTCTATTCAAAACGAGTACCCAACGCAGGAGGGTTGGGAAAAAGTAACAGGAAGAGGGGGAGGAGGAAGAGGATGAGGAGGAGGGATGAGGCGAGAGGAGGAGAGGGTGGCCAGGACAAGAACTCGACTCCAGATTTCGGGAACAATGTGGGTGGGCTGCGGATGGGTCGGGGGTGGGTCGTGGGCGGGTCACGGGTGGGTCAGGGGCGGGTGACAAGCGAGGACGACGACAACAACAACAAACATAATCCGCGCTGCGAAATTCCACTTCAACCATGCACCCAAGGATTGTGTAAGACCGTTCGGCACCCTCACTCTGGTACACATGCAGACCTGCGGTCAGATGTCAATGACTACATGCACGTGCGTACACGTAAACCTGCAAAACGGAGACTACTAGCCGTCTCGGCCACTAGTCCCCTCCACACCAACACAAGATGATAAACCTAGCAGTCGGGACTCAGCATTGGTATGTATACATCGATTTCCTGATGACCTCAGAAGGGCATTCAATGTGGAAGTCGCGTGTACCGAGGACCCCACTGACGTCCGTCCTCCCCTAACGCAAATGCGACAAGTGCGGAGACCACTGGAATTACCTTGCAAAGAATGGCGGGGGCATACATTGTCTGATGCCCGTGTTTCGGAATCGCCCTACCCGACGATCTGGGTACTTCCAGAACTGTCAAAACCACAAAACCACACACGACAACCATTGATCACCTCCCCTTCCCTCTCATCTACTCTCACCTCTCCCCCTCATCATGCCCCTTCCCTCTATCCGTCTCACATGATGGGGCGATTGGCACGGGGCCGTATCCCGCGGGCACTCCGCCGTGCCCCCTCTTTTGTACGAGACTCCGTTCGCATGCTTTTGTCCTGCGAGATCCAGGGCTATTGGCTCTTCAAGGTAGAAAAAGATGAGGACAACGGCATGCCGGCATCATGCTACAGGAATTTCCACCAGAAGCGATGGGTTGGAAAGATACCCATGACCTTGACGTCATTGTACTGCGATGCATGTCAACCAACTGCACCCTGTTGTCCCAAATCGCCTGGGTGTGAGATCACTCCGGCAGCACCCAACTTTTTACTCGGCAGACAGGGCAGCTGCCACCTTCTCTGCAGACTTCTTAGGCGTCGTGCCAGCACCTTTTAATCGCTGTACAGAGCCGTACCTGTCGACGAGCCAATACGATGCGAAATTCCATTTGATGTCACTGCTGTCTGCGGTGGCAGCCTTCAAGAATTGGTAAACTGGATGAGTATCACGGCCGTTAACGTCAACCTTGTTCATCATCATGAAGCTGTCATTGTCGGGAACGCCTAGCTTGGTAGCGAACGCTTTGATATCAGCATTGCTACCGGGCTCTTGTCCTCCAAATTGGTTGCATGGAAATGCCATAATCACTAGACCCTCAGAGCCAGCATCCTTGCTCATCTGAATCAGCTCTTTGTAATAGGTCTGCGTAAAGCCTCATCTGCTAGCGACGTTGCCGATTAGTACCACCTTCCCACGAAAACGATCAAACGCAACTTCGTCACCATCGATGTTTTTTGCAGACAGGTTGTAGAACGCTGATGACTCTGTGGAGGACGCTCATGACATACTCATTGCTGCTGCACCGCAGATAACTGGGCCTTGAACAGACCGAGAAATTATGCCGATGCGACGGATGAATAGGTGGCAACTCCCAGGAGGTCTTCGTGGGCACGATTAGGAGCTCCTAAACTGCATGAACACACGCCGACTTCAATCAACCATGGGACACAATTACTTAAGCCATACGACGCTGGATCGAGCCGGATCAAGACAGATTAAGACAGGCTCGAGGGCCAACAACAGACTGAAATTCCAGGGAGTTGCAACCCAAGGATCGCCTTCTCCATTGCGCCGACCTGCGCGGGACTGTCGAAACAAATCGAAGGTGACTCAAACCTCTGACGTAATTGTTCCAATGACTGGTCAATGGATTTCTATGCCCCTTCCATAAGATTCGTTTTCCACCCCCCTTGCTTTTTAGACAGACCAGGGGCCAGACGACACGGTCCTCTTCCAATTGCTGAGGTTGAGAAACGACCAGCGTCATCAGAAATCACTAAGCACGTCGAAGGTCGAGGAAGGTGGCCTGCGCAGCTCCTCGAACCAAGAACGGTCCTGAGCCACGGTGGCTGCGGGCGGGAACGGTGGATTGCAAGCTGCCGACCAATGAGCCAATCAACCGACCAACCCAAGCGACCCAACCACGCAAGCAACCAACAGGGAGAACGCCCCTTCAAATTCATCGAAGGTGTGATGCGGCGCCTCAGGCCAGAGACGGATCGACCCGAGGTGGCGGCGGACAGGGGCGGGGCGGGGGGCGAGGAGGTGTTTTTCTTCTCTTTGGATTTGCTCCACCCCCATGCAAATCCTTCCGCTCTGGCGGCGGTAGCAGCTGGCAGAACTAAATAGGGGAACCCGAGACCAGCGCAGGAGTGCGAAGCCTCGAGAGTGCGCGGCGGCTCAAGACAGGCATACTGAGTGTGGCGGGCCGAGTCTGGCCCACCTCAGTCCTGAGAGGCAACGACGAGGGGGGACTGGCTCAGGGGGCACGCATCGACCTTGAATCGACGATACCGCATTGCATGTAGATTGGCGACAGGCCCCCAATAATCCGCACGTTCCTGGGCGGGGTGAGCTATTGGGTCCCTATCGGCGATGCATGGGCGAATTGGAGTCGATGCATCCACCACCCTGAGCCTACGTGTTAACTATTGAGGAAGAAAGCACGTCTATGTTCGTTGGTGTGCTTTCTTCTTCGATATTCTCCCCCCAAGCGTTACCCCCGAAGTCCTCGTCGCCCAAGTCTATGACCAGGTGCTTCCCCCCCGTCGTCAGCGCCGCGAACTCCCTCGGCTGCCTATCCACCGGCGCGGGCGCCAACGGCAGAGCGCACGCCGCAGGGGCGGCGGACTCCGCGGAGGCCTTGCTCGCCGCGAAGGCTGCGCTGGCCGTGGCGGCGGCGGCGGGCGCCGCCAACGGCGCCGGCGCCAACGGGAAGGCGCACGCCGCAGGGGCGGCGGACCCCGTGGAGGTCCTGCTCGCCGCGGAAGCCGGGCCGGTCGTGGCGGCGGCGGCCGCCGCCGCGGCTGGGCCGCCGGCCGCCCAGACAGTGAGCACGCCCCAGTGGTCCGAGGGGAAGCGCCCCAGGCCAGGCACCCGCGCCCTGCCCACCAGGGAGACAGCGGTGGGCCGCCAGCCCTCCGCCGGGGCGGCCGCCTCCACGGCGGGCGCGGCCGCCTTGGCCTTCGCCTTGCCCCTTGCCTTGGCCTTCGGGGCGGGGCCCCTGTCGGACACCCCGGGGCTCAGGAAGAGCACGCGGTCGAAGCGCGTCCTGCAGGAGAAGCTGGCCCCGACGTTGGTGTTCTCGACGGTATCCCAAGTGTAGCGGGCGGCCGCCGGGGAGCCGCAGTGTACCCACGCGTCGGCCACGCCAGCGCCGTCCGCCCCCAGCTGCTGCATCACTTCTCGGACGTCATCATCACGCGCGTTGAGGTCGCCGCCGAACACTGCGGCGCCCACGGGGGCGGTGCCGGCTGGCGCCGCGGCCGGCGGCTTGCCTACCTGGGAGCGCAAATGGCGCAAGCTCTGCAGCATCTGCCGCCTGCGCTCCGCAGCGTGGTCCTGGGGATTCCACAAGGTACCGACACCACTACCCCCGGGGCCTCTCCCAGGGTGCGTTCTGACCAGAATTTCGAGGCGAATCCAGCGGTGGCGGCGACGGCCTCCCAGGGGGCCCAAAAAGGGGAGAGCGAGGGAAGGATGGCGGTAGGGGTACCTTTTCTCGGCGGTGGACAAACCTCCCTTTAGTAAACCTCCCTTTAAAGAAAACGGCCTAGGACCGAAACCGACGGACCTGGACCCGCAAAAATGACGGCCGCGACGCCTTCTCGCGAACCGAAAACGGCCAATTCCTCAATCGACGTGTCAGGGTAGGAGGTCTATCAACCTCCGATTCTCCTCTTCTGAGATCCTTCGTGCTCTCGAGGTGCGCAGTGGCCAGCAGTAGGGGCGAGTCTCCGCCGGCGAGCTGCAGCGTCACGCACAGCAACTGCCGCCCCATGCGCGTGCTGGGGAAGGGCACCGTGGTCGGCGGGCCGAGGCGCCTCGCGCGGCGCTTGTCCAGGAGGATGGCCACGTAGTACGGCACGGGCCCGTGGTCGTCTGGCCACTCTGAGCGCATTGAGGCCCCAAGATGGGACGCACAGGGACATACTAATACTATATGTCCTCCTTGGAGGCGCGCGTCCGACCCGAACATATAGTATACCCATCTTGTAGTATATCGTTTCCCGAGCGGTGCGGCCAGAAAGCGCCTGCTACGACGCATATACTATAAGAGTTCTCGGTGCGCGCGTCGCCCCTGGGGGGGCGACGCACACATAGTAGAGCCAACCAAACAGGCCCCGATTGTCCAAACAAGCAGTCAAGGCTGGCTGACTGTTGGCAATCCGAGTCCGCGTGGCTGGCTCCTGGGAGGCCACCAGGGGGTCCAAGATAGCCCTGCCCAACTGGCCCTCAGGGTGGCCCCGAGACCACGAACATAGGCGGGTCCTTCGGCACCACCACCTCGTACGAGCCGCCGAGCACCTTCTCCGAGGACAACAGCTCCAAGGCAGGCGGTACCACCTCCTGCAGCAGCACCGCGAACGGCCGCCGCCGCGCGACCTCGAGGGCGGCCGCAAGCGTACGCAGCATCAAAGCCTCCGGGCCGCCGACCTCGTCCAGACCTTGGTCGCCCGAGTTATCCGGGGTAACTCGGGTCCGGGGTAACTCGGGTTTGGATTCCCGAAGAAGGAACCCGAGTTAGCCCTGACCCGAGTTACCCCTGATGATGTGGGGCTCTGGACGCCCGAATTATCCGGGGTAACTCGGGTCCGGGGTAAGTCGGGTTCGGAATCCCGAAAAACGAACCCGAGTTAGCCCTGACCCGAGTTACCCCGGATGATTCGGGGCTCCGAAGACCATCGATGTTCCAGGTGAGCAGGCGCAGCTCCTCCGGCGCCGGCTCCTGCAAGGCTGCCACCGTCGCCGCTGCCGCCCTGCCGTGCCCGACGCCGCCGCCCTCTGCGCGGCCGCCGTCGTCGCCGCCGTCGGCGCCCGCTCCTGCAATGCCCTCCGAATCTCGTCGGTGCGCTCGGGAGGCACGCGCAGCTGGCCCGGCTCGAGGCAGCGCCGCTTGATCGGCGGCGCGATCTCGGTCGGCCCGTCCTCCAGCAGCGCCGAGATCGGCAGGTTCAGGAGCTCTGGCGGCAGGCCGCTGATGGCGCCCCTCCGCGCCGCGGCCAATGCCCAGGCAAGGCGAAAGGGGGGGATAGCAAAGGGGGGGGTTGAGAGTCAGCTCACGTAGCTGATTTTCCAGGCGCCTCCCGGCGCCGGAGGCGGCCATCTATCGAGGAATGGGCCGAAACAAGCTGCACGCAGCGGATGTCGTAACCCCCGCTCTCCCGATCCCGCCCTTTCGTCCGGCCCGAAATGCCGCCGACGGCTCCGCCCGCGCTGGCGCCGGCGCCGCGGCCGCCGCGGCACCAGCAGCAGCAACGGCCTCGGAGACCGCAGCGCCCGCTGCCGGGGCCCCGTCGCCCACCCCTCCTCGGGAGACCACAGAATAGTTTCCGATACAACCGCTCCCTGGGCCTCTCCTGGGGTCCAAGAGGCCCTGAGGGACCCCGAAGAGAACCTCAAAGGCCTCCAAAATACCTCGAGGCGGCCGGATATGGCCTGCAGACAGGCCAAGATGCCACCAAAGGGCCACTAAAGAGCACCGAGAGGTACGATAACAGCAACGAAGCAACAAGAACGATTTCGAGTGCCGTGTCATGATTCGGACAAGCCTCGTGAAATGCAGTCCTGGAGGCGCAATAATTTATATAGGGATCTGCGGATGTGGGGTAAGCCTATATTCGCCAGCCCAACGGGCCAGGGCGTGCTAAGATCTCCGGTAACTGGTTAACAGTATTAACAATATTTCTAGTTCGCGCGCGCGGGGCGGCCCCTGGGGGTCCCCCGGCGAAAAGTACCCCGACCAACGCCCGGTCGCCGCCCGACCGCCGCCCGACCAAGTCTACTCAGAGATGGTTTTCCTTCTGGGTGCGGCCTCTCAGGCTCCCCAGAGCGCGCTCAGAGTGCCCCAAGAGGCCCCCAAGACTGCCCAAGAGGCCCCCGAGACGCCCAAAGAGCGCTCGAAGACGCCGAAGATGACCCCAAGACGGCCCAAAAGGCCCCCAAGACAGCCCAAGAGGCCTCCAAGACGCCCCAAGAGCCTTCCAAGAGGCCTCCGAAGAGAGCCCCAAGAGGCCAAAATCGTTGATTTTCATTGGTTTGTTCGATGTTTTTTGTGTTCTGGCTTTTTCGGCTTCCGGACGCTCCAAGACGGCCCAAGAGGCCCCCAAGACCGCTCCAAGACGGCCCACGAAGCTCCCAAGACGGCGCCGAAACGACCCAAGAGAGCCCTCAAGACGGCCCAAGTGCCGCCCAAGACGGACCAAGAGGCCCCAAGACGGGCCCAAGAGGGACTCAGGAGGGATACCGAGAACTCAAAAATGGAGCCCTCCGTCCCAGAAGGCGCCCAGGAGGTCCCAAAGAGGCCCCAAGAGGCCTCCAAGAGGCCCCAAGATGTCGCCAAGAGGCCCCAGGAGACTCCCAGGAGGCCCAAAAGAAGCCCCAGAAGGCTTCAAACATGTCTCCCAGGCGCCCCCGAACGGCCTCTCAACAGACCCCAAGAGGCCCCCCAAAGAAGCATCTTGACGACGACTCTATTTCGCCCCATCGAGAGACGACCCCCAGGGAACTGCTTCACCATCAAAACTCCCCACGCAACGCGTCCGAACGACACCCGCCCCCAAGAGCGCAACATGGGCAACGAACACACAGACAAAAACCAGCGATGCCATATCACGGGCCGGCGGAATGAGCGAAGCGATTCAATGATATTTTCCGATACGACAGTTCCCCGGGCCTCTTCCGGGTGCGCTCTGACCGCGACTTCGAGGCGAATCCAGCCGTAGCGACGAGGGCCTCCCAGGAGGCCCACAAAGGCAAACATGGGGCAGGGGCAGCGGCATCGGTACTTCGAGCGGGGACCGACCGTCCCAGCAGTCCTATAGGCCTACCACGACATGTTCTTAGAACCCAAGAATGTTCCAACAACAAAAACAATGTTCAACCCGACGTGTTAGAACAAGACAGTCACAGCCCGAAATGTTCTTAGAACATCTCTTGGGAACAACAGAAGGTTCTTATCATATTCTTGGTGGGCCTATAGGCGAGCCAGGACGCTTCGCCACTGCTTGAGTAATGTTGTGGATGCCATGACAATGGACACTCTAACAATCCGATCATTGAATTAAACGTGTGTTGACATGTGTAAAACGTGTTACAAAAACGTTCCAAACATATATTGAACATGTTAAGCAAAAGCGCATGCTATACATCTGTTAGACAACAGGAAAATACTTGGCAGCATGCTTCCTTTCCATTGATGGTCCTCCACAATATTACTTATAGGCGGAAGGGCCGCCGTGCGGCGCGGGGCGCCCTCTCTCTTCCTCGAGGCGCTCGGCCTGCCTCCGCCCGTGCCCCACGCAGGAGGAGGAGCAGGAGGAGGAGGAGGAGGAGGAGGAGGAGGAGGAGAAGGAGGGTGCTGAGGGTGCTGATGACGCAGACGGGTTCTCCCCGCCCCCGCCGGACGGGCCGCGGTAGGGGGGCGAACCGCCCCCTACCCATCACCCGTTGCGGCACGCCAGGCCACAAAGGAGGAGGAGGAAGAGGAGGAGGAGGAGGAGGAGGAGGAGGAGGAGGAGGAGGAGGAGGAGGAGGAGGGGGAGGAGGAGGAGGAGGAGAGGGGAGGTAGAGGAGGAGGAGGAGGAGGAGGAGGAGGAGGAGGAGGAGGAGGAGGAACAGGAGGACCTATAGTACTGTTTCCTCCTCTGGCCTCCACCTCCAGGGGCGGCCCCGGCGGCCTCGCGGGCCCGGTGTGCGGCGAACCTGTCGCGCGCCGCCTGCCTTGCGGCCAGCAGCTGCGGGTCCATCTGACCGGCGGGGCCTCGGAGAGGCGGGCGGGTCTCTGCGCTGCGCACCGCGGAAGAGGAGGAGGAGGAGGAGGAGGAGAGCAGGATTAGGAGGAGGAGGAGGCGGAGGAGGGGGCATCTTGGGAGCCCATGGGGGCACTCTTGGGCCTCCTCGGAGCTTCCCGGGAGACTTTTAGAGATATCTTGGGGGGCCTCCTTGGGCCCTCGGGCGCCCATTTGTTTCTGAGGGGAACGATGCGGACAGCATACGCGACCACTCGCAGCGCCATCCCAAACTGGGCAGCATGCGTTGTGCGTGTGTGTGTGTGTGTGTGTTCAAAACACCATGTGGCGCCCGAACGCACGCAAAAAACACACACAGTGGCAGTCGACCGCAATGCCGCGCGCAACGGAGGTGACAAAAAGCATGATCGCCCTCGGGCGCTCATTCTGATCGCTGGCCCGAGATCCTGATCAGGACCTCCGAGCTCTCGACGTGCCACACGCTTGGGGCACCGTGCCCGAATCCCCGAGTCCACTCGAGCACAAGATCGGGCTCTTCGGAGTAAACCGGTGCACGGACGTCCGCGAGAAGGAGGAGGAGGAGGAGGAGAAAGTGCACGCGGCACCCTCCTCAACGCCTGGCGCCCGCTCGCCCACAGTCGACTCCTGGTGTGCTGTCTGGCTTCCGCGCGCCCAGCACCCTGAGCTTCCTGACGCGCACGACTCCACGATCGCCTGAGCTCGTGCGTCGCACCGCGCGATGCGTCACGCGCGATTCTCTTCGCGCTCCTGCAGGACCCTAGAGACGAGGGGCTGTCCAGCCCAGCCCGCGCGGTGCGCAGCGCGACTTTCTTCGCGCCCCTAAGGGCGACCTACTGCAGCCCCTCTGAACCCAATCCACGCTCCTGGTGCTCTCCCCTACGTGCTCTTTACCCCCAAAACATGTCGTCGCTCTCTTTGTCTCGTTCTCTCTCGTTTCGTTTTTTGTGTTCTCTCTCTCTCTCTTGTTCCCCACATGTTTCGTGCGGTTATGCTTTTCTCTGCCGCATCGCACCCGTGTTCCTTCTCCTTCTCCTCCTCCTCCTCCTCCTCCTCCTCACCCTGTTGCTTGTCCATCCCGCTCGCACTTACAAAACCGCCGTGGCAAACGTGGCACTTCAACGGGTAGTCCCTCAGCGCGGCCACTATCCGTCACGGTCGTCCAGGGCAGAGCACGCGTGGGGTGGTCCCTCAGCGCGGCCGCTATCCGCCACGGTCGTCCAGGGCATAGCAGGCGTGGCATATTCTCGATACCATAAACGGAGTGCGCAATGGGTGGTCCCTCAGCGCAGCCGCTGTCCGCCACGGCCGTCCAGGGCATAGCAGGCGTGGCATATTCTCGACACCATCGGGGGTGCGCAAGGGGTGGTCCCTCAGCGCGATGGTTGTCCAAGGCATGGCAGGCGTGGCGTATTCTCGACACCATAAACAGGGGGTGTGCAGGGGGTGGTCCCTCCCTGCGGCTGCTATCCGTCAGGGTCGTCCAGGGCATAGCACGCGTGGCATATTCTCGACACCGTAAATTGGGGGTGCGCAGAAGGTGGTCCCTAAGCGCGGCCACTATCCGTCACGGTCGTCCAGGGCACAGTAGGCGAGGCATATTCTCGATACCATAAATGGAGTGCGCAAGGGATGGCCCCTCAGCGCGGCCGCTATCCGCCACGGTCGTCCAGGGCATAGCAAGCGTGGCATATTCTCGATACCATAAGCGGAGTGCGCAATGGGTGGTCCCTCAGCGCAGCCGCTATCCGCCACGGTCGTCCAGGGCATAGCAGGCGTGGCATATTCTCGACACCATAGAAGGTGCGCAACTCAGCGCGGCTGCTATCCGTCACGGTCGCCAAGGGCATAGCACGCGCAGCATTTCCTCGAAACTGTAGGCGTTGCGCAAGGGGTGGTCCCTTTGGCGTTGTAATCGTCTCATGCCCCCAAGGCTTGAACCGCGCCGCATTCGATGTCAGCGAAGCAACGGCCACGAGCAACATGCTCGCACATTCCACGTCAGCTACAATCACGCAGGACACATGATAAGTATGTGGGTTTCCCTCGGTAGCGCATTTTTGTTCTCTGCTTCTCTCTCCCTCTGTTACAATTTACATTTATGTTTTGTATTATATGTATATATATATAGATAGAAGAAGTGAGGGGGTGAGATCGATGTGGAACGGAGTGCCCCCCTATCGGGAAATCGGTTTCGGTTTCGTGTTCGTGCGTGCCGTGCGTGCGGGCGAGGCGAACCTGCGTGGGCGGGCGAGAAATGTCCCGCCTCTGGCTGAAGCGCGGCCGGACCAACAGTCTCCCTTCCAGCAACCGGTGCCCCGAGGTGTGCCGCCGGTGTCCCGCCGGTGTCCCGTCGGTGTCCCGATGATGACGATGACGATGCAGCTGTTGTTGATGATGATGATGATGGCCATGGTGGTGATGATGATGGTCCCGATGATGGTGATGTTGATGATGCTGATGTTGCTGACGAAGATGATGGGGTCCCGATGATGCTGGCGATGATGCGGTTGATCCTGATGATGTTGATTATGATGAGATGATGAGATGATGATGATGAAGAAGATGATGATGATAGTGTCCCGATGATGATGATGAGGTTGATGGTGAAGTTGATGATGATTATGGTGCTGATGATGATGGTGTCCCGATGATGCTGATGTTGATAATGGTAATGATGACGATGATAATGTCCCGATGATGGTGATGATGATGATGTCGATGATAAGAAGGATGATGAGGTGATGATGATGATTCTAATGGTGGTGGCCGGACGATGATGATCATGATGCTGATGTTGTTGATGATGATGATGGTGTCCCGATGATGATGATGGTGCTGATGATGGTGACGATGATGATGGTGCCCCGATGGTGATGATGTTGACGATGATGATGTTGCTGATGTTGCTGATGGTGTCCCGGTAATGATGATGATGCTCATGTTGCCCATGATGGTGATGAGATGGTGATGGTGATGATGATGTTGGTGTTCCGATGATGATGATGATGATGATGGTGTCACAATGATGATGTTGATGCTGATGATTGTGAGGCTATGGTGTCCCGATGATGGTGATGATGATGACGATGAAGATGGCCATAGTGGTGATGACGACGGTGTCCCGATGATGCTGATGTTGATGATGCTGAGGTTGCTGATGATGATGGTGTTCGGGTGGTGATGATGTTGGTGATCATGATGATGTTGATGATTATGAATATGGTGATGAAGATGATGGTGATGATGGTGTCCCGATAATGATGATGTTGATGATGATGCGGTTGATGGTCAGGATGGTGATGATGATGATGTCCCGATGGTGATGATGTTGATGATGATGACGATGATGGTGTTCGATGGTGATGACGGTGTTGATGACGAGGCGGATGATGAGGTGAGGAAAACCTTATGATGATGGAGGCTCGATGGTGATGTTAATGTTGATGGTGATGGTGTTCCAATGATGATGATGATGAAGATGATGATGGTAGCGGCAATGGTGTCCCGGTAGTGATAATGTTGATGATGACGATCGTGCTGATGATGATCACGGTATCCCGATGATGATATTGACGATGTTGTTCATGATGATGATGGTGATGTGATGGTTGTGATGATGATGATGGCGGTGCTCCGATGATGATGATGATGATGGTGTTGGTCCCGATGATGGTGATGTTGGTGATGATGGTGACGATGATGGTGTCTCGATGATGGTGATGGTGATGGTGGTGTTGCTGATGATGTTGATGAGGTAATGCTGATGGTGTCGCGATGATGATGATAATGTTGATGACGATGATGTTGATGACGTTGATGACGATGATGTCCATGATCATGATGATGAAATTGATTGTGAGATCAGTTGTGATATCGATAGTGGTATCGAAAGTGATCCCGAATGTGAGATAGATTGTGATATCGAAAGTGAGGTCGATAGTGAGATCTATTGTGAGATCGATAGTCATATCGATTGTGAAATCAATCGAATGAACTAGATCGAATGGTATCGATTGTGAGATCGATCGAGTGAGATCGATCGAGCGAAACCGATGGTGACATCGATCGTAAGATCGATAGTGGGACCGATCGAGTGAGACGTTGGTTGCTCCCCCCCGAACCTCCTTATCACCCGAAGGGTGGTCGTATCGGTACATCTATAATATATATACATATATATACATATTCTCATACGCACCTCTCCGAGGGAATAAAACTCAGAGGCGATTCGTGCGTACGCGGGGCGCCGCGATCGCGATTTTTCTGGCCGCTTCGCTAGGTACATCCTCGAAATTTTGGGTCTCGGTGGCACCCCTCACGCAGATCGTGACGTCAGGGTCCAGAAACACATGGGAATTTCAACATTCTAACATACAGCCTTCAAAAACACATGGTAATTTCAATGATTTTGGCCCCGAATCTCAGAGAATGGCGATTTCGCCTGAGTTATCCTCCCAAAATCGAGCCCCGACGTACCTTCTGGTACCCCAGACCCCGCCTCGGAGCCTCTTGGGAGCCTCCTGGGACCTCCTGGGGACTCCTGGGGCTTTCTGTACCATCTTGTACCCAGACCCCGCCTCGGAGCCTTCTGGGGGTCTCCTGGAACCTCCTGGGGCCTCCTGCGGCCTTCTAGAGCCTCTTGGGGCCTCCTGGAGCCTCCTGGGGTCGTCTGGGGCCTCCTGAGGCCGCCTGGGGCCTCCTGGGGCCTCAGAACTACATGCACATACAGAGACACAAATCACACCCACCACATCACACGCTAGACATACATAACACACAACACCTACAACGCACAGAAAACACGTACACCACAGAACACACATCATACACACACGACACTCACAATACCGGGGCCTCGTGGAGCCTCTTCCGGTATCCAAGTGGGGCCTCCTGAGGTTTCCTGGGGGGCCCTGGTACACACATCGCAAGGTGTGGCAACCCCACTTGCGCTCGAGTGCGACCTCGATCTTAGATTC